CCCTTTCCAACAATTCAATATCTTTCCTAAGGTAAGGAACACAAGACTGGACACAATATTCCAAATGTGGCCTAACCAGTGACCTGTACAATGAAAGTATAACCTCTAGACTTGCATTCAATATTTCTATACATATAACCTAAAATCCTATTTGCCTTACCACTAGCAACAGCACATTGCTTGGATAGCTTTAGAGACTGATAAAATATTATACCAAGATCACTTTCCTTCATAACAATATTAAGGTTATTCCCATCCAAATTATACATATAATTCAAATTATGATAACCCATAATTATGAATTATCTTGCATTTATTATAATTAAAAACCCATCTGCCATTTATTTGCCCAACTCATTAAATGATCTAAATCCTTTTGTAAATCAGCAGCATCCTCTTCACAGCTAGCAACACCCAAGACCTTAATATCATCTGCAAATTTAAGTAATTTATTGACTGTGTATGTAGCTTATATAAAAGTATAAGTCTGAAATCACTATGGTGAGATGTCAACTAAAAAATAAGTAAATTGTATAGAAACTATGTAAACAAAAAATAAAAAAAAACTATTCAGTCAAAAATAAGCACATAATGAAATAAAGTATAAACCCCCTGCCCTGCAAATTTAAATTTCTGCTGTTAGTATATTCTACAGTGTATAGCTCTGACAGTCGAAACGGAATAATGAGTTGAAACACAGGCCATTAAATTCAATTTCAAAAAGTCACAATTGACTGACACCGAGTAAAATAGATACTCCATATTACTATTATGGAGTATCTATACTACATAATAGTAATACTAATAGTAATATTATAACTTTCTACTCTAGTCACAAAACTGAAAAAAGTCGAAATGAACTTCTAGCACGTGAGAAGATTCAGGAATACTGACATGTTTACGCCATAACATAGAATGTAGTCATATGTATTAAAACTAGTAAAAGTAAAAAGTTTCAAATAAAAAAATCCACAGTTTGCATAAATCAAATAATTTTATGACTTAGGCCTAACATGTTACTGTTAGTCACTTACAAGTTTTGCTGCTTCACTCCAAGTTTTCACTTTCTTTTTCTTTGCTTGCTTGTCTCTAATAAATTCTTGTTGCATCCTTGCTCACTTAAACAAAGCATGGACCAGAAGAGCTATCTTCTAGTAAACAAATGGTTTCTTCCCACAAATAAATTAATGTTATTCTTTTCTGTATCACAAAAAAACACGACGCCATTTTCACAGGAGCAAATAACATGTCACGTGATCAATGTCGTTGGTTAGTGTTAACGTCAAAGGTATTAAAATTTAAAATGCCATAAATACGAAATATTAGTTCATTACTACGCCCAACTTTAAAAATAACTAATTAAAACTCAGCCCTTACTACATTTTGTGTTTATTTTTTGCTTTAACTAAACTATTTTTAGATTTGGTTTTATTAACTTATAGGTGGTGCTACGTCTATTTTCAGTTTATATCTTATACTTTTCGTTATTAATTTTTGTAATATTTATGATTTTTAGCTTATAAAAACCATGAATAGAAAAAGAGGTTTGATTTAGCGCAAAACAATACAATGGGCTATTTTCGCTGTGTTCGCTGTAGAGGTATAACTCCGAATGCTGGCCAGCATGGACATTTAAAAAAATAATAATAAATAAGGTGTTGAACGCGTGGGATGTTATGAATCCAGAGAGTCGGTTATGTTTTAATAGCTGAAGATGGCTTGTTAAACTTATATTAAAGTTTTTCTTCATTACCCATTCAAGCCTCTTCAGCCATTATTAATCTCAAAGTGGATTCCTCGTCACCGAATTCGGTTATGTTTTAATATAGCGAGATAAACTGTAGTTTTGAAGAGTATCAGAGTGACCCAGTAAAGTTTTTAGAAATTCTTGTTAAAGGAAAAGCTAGAGTTTTTTTTTTCTAAATAAAAATTGCAGAATTAGGAACAGGAAGTAATTTAATCTCTATATAAATAAAATAAGAGTTTTGTCTGTACATTGCTTAGAATAGTGTACTTTTTGCATTTCTTCACGATTCATACACCAAAGAAGCCGAAACAAGTCTTATCTCAATTTCTGTCTGTCGGTAACGCTCGCGGACGTGTTTTTTTTCGCTTTTCACGGGAAAACGAGTGCACCGTTTTCGATGAAACTTTTTTCTTTGTTTTATAGATGTGTAAGAAGGTTATAGGCTACTTGAAACTGTCATACG